CACGGGGAGACCGGGGGTGGTAGGGGAGGATCGCAGGAAGGAGGCCGACCACCAACTTTGCCGAGCGCCGGCCGATCGCGAGCGCGGGGCCGCGGCTGGCCATGTCTTGGGGGTCCCCAAATAACGGTCCGGTGACCTCGAGCCCCTCAAGAGACCTCACTACAAGGTCCGTCACCGCAAGGTTGTGGGACCTTGAAGGTCCTGGTGGCCCGAGACGTCCTCGGAGAACGACCCGAGTCCCGAAACCGTGCGGACACCCCGAATCCCCATTGACTCACCACACGGTGTGGTCGCCGCACCGCTTGGGGGGCCTCCGAGCTGCGTTGGCGGCGATAGGCATCTCTGGGGGAGGCCTCGGCGAACGAGTCCAGGCGGGCGCTCCGCCTCGGTCCGCCGCCGTCCTCGCCGCTGGCCTGCCTGCGGCCCATGGCGGCGACCCCATGATTGCGGCCGCAGGACGGCGAGGGGCCAGGCGAGTTGGAGCGGGCTGCGGTCGGCCGGGGCGCCCGCCGTGGCATCTCTGAGCGGGCGGAGTGGGCGTCGTCGTCGTCCTCGTCGTCCGCACCGTCGTCGTCGTCAACGCTGTCCTTGTCATTGGCGCCGTCGTCGTCGTCGTCGTCGTCGTCGTCGTCGTCGTCGTCGTCGTCGTCGTCGTCGTCGTCGTCGTCGTCGTCGTCTTCGGGGGCAGGGCGCTGTCGGCACCGCAGGAAGGCGCGCACCGCAGGAAGGCGCGGCGCAGGTAGAGGCCTCCTAGATGGGGTCCGAGTACAGTCGGGGCGCTGACCTAAGGAGCCCAAAAAAGGGAACGAGGCCCCTCTTCTCCAGAAGATGCACTTCGATCTCCCATCGAAAACCTCAGGGAAACGTGAGGCAGACTGTGGAGCAATCGGGGAGCACGGAGCCCCTCCCCAACGAAAAGGCTTCCTTCTTCAGCGCCCCGACTGTAGAGGGGGTCGGAGGATCGCGCCGCATCGCCCATACATCGGCGGCGCATCGGCCATGCATCGGCGAGGCAACGGCGATGCAGCAGCGCTGCATCGTCGACGTCGGCGACGCACCGGCGACGTCGGCGTGGAGCAGATCGGGCCCCACCGCGATCCGCCGACCCCGTCGGCTCCGACCCCGTCGAGGAGGCCTAGGAGGGTAGGGCAGGGCGGAGCACCGCGCAGCGCCGGGCGAGGGAGCGCCCCGGAGGCGAGGGGCGACGCCTGGCGGGGCAGATCCAGGGAGGGCCGCGCTCCGCACCTGCTGCTCGAGGAAGAACGGGCGGCACAGGCATAAACTCTCGGAGCTCTGCGCCGCTGCGCGGAGTTCTTGGATCGGCGAGGGGCCCTCCCGGCAGCGCCTCCAGCGCCGCCCCTGGCGCGCTCTGCGCGCAAGGGAGGGGGGGCCCAGCGCCGATTCGAGAGATCCGCGCGGAGCTCCAAGGGTTGCTGTTCGTGCCGCAGGTTCTTCTTCGCCATGTGGGGCACCGTAGACACAGACGCCGAGAGAACGGCAGCAAGGCAACAAGACCCCCTTTCAACACCGTGCAAGGAAAAGATCGTGGCCACAACTTTGAACCAACACAGCACCGCGAAGTGCCCGTAACTACACATGCAGCATTCGGGTCGGGCGAGAGGGGGGGATAGCAAAGGGGGGGTCTTGAGAATCGGCTCACGTAGCTGATTTTTCCAGCGCCTCCTGGCGCCGGAGGCGACTATGTATCGAGGAATGGGCCCCTCGGCGGGGCCGAAACCAGGCTGCACGCAGCAAATTTCGTACCCCCCCCTTTCCCAGTACAGTCGGGGCCTTGACCTAAGGAACCCAAAATAAGGAACGAGGCCCCTTTTTTCCACAAGTTAACCTTCGATTTCCGGTCGAAAACACAAGGAAAGCCTGAGGCAAGCTGTGAAACACTTAAGTAGGAACGCGGAGCCCTTCCCCAACGAAGAGGGTTCCTTCTTCAGGGCCCCGACTGTACCACCCTTTCGTCCAGCCCGAAGCATGCTTCACACAGGCACCCGCTGGGAGATGGCCCCACGGGCCGTCGGGCACCGGAGCAAGAGGCGGGCACGACGCTCACACTCTGCACGGTGCTGGCTGCTGGCCCCTGCAGCAGCACGGTCTCCCTCGCCACACTGACGTCATCCACCACCTGCCGCGTGTCTTCTGTGAGAAGCAGTGCTCCGCCACGCGTACGCACAGCGCTCCCGAGGAGGATCTTTCTTTCGGGTGCCTCGGCGAGCCGCTCCGTGCAAGAGGAACTATGACCCTGGCACGCTCACGCATCTATTGGCGCACTGGATGCTTCGGGCGATGGTCCCTACCATGGTGGGCAACAAGAAGGCTGCGCCCGCAGCGCCCACTGCCCTCGGCGCGTCCCCAAGCAACGTTTCCACTGACAGAGATCTCCCGCCAGCCCAGAACCCGCTCAAGACCTCTCCCTGGATTCCTGCTGGACGCAGTCCTGTCGAATCAGGACGGCATGCGTCTGGAGGTGGGGGCGGGGGGCCTTCCCGAGGGCCAGGAAGACTAAAAACAAATCCGCTGGACGCGTGGGACTGGATGGCAGACATGGATGAAGGGGCCCCAGGACACACAAATAAATACACACAAATATAAATAGTCCCCATATTTTCCTCTATTTTTGGGGTTCTTGTCTTCCCCCCCCCACTTCCCATATTTTCCCATATCTTCTGGGAGATCGAAGATTCATTGTGTCTGTGTGTTTCTTCTCCTCCTGAATGGAAGCCCTCCGCGGAGCGAAGCTCCAAGGCGCGGGGGGAGAGAACCCTGGCTGGCCCCTGGGCCGCCACCACTCGGCGGCGCAGGAGGGGCAGTGCAGGTGGCCAGCTCCACGGCGCTGGAGACTCCCAGGAGGGAGGAGGAGGGAGGGAGGGAGGGAGGGAGGGAGGGAGGGAGGAGGGAGGAGAGAGGAGGAGGGAGGGAGGAGGGAGGAGGGAGGAGGGAGGAGGGAGGAGGGAGGAGGGAGGAGGGAGGAGCCTCTGGGGAAGCTCCCGTCTGCACGCCCGAGATGGGTGCGGCGGGTTCGTGTCGTGACGACCCCAGCGTTGGTTTCTGACATCGCGTGGATCGTTCGACCTCGAACGATCGGCGGCTTATCGATTGCCAGATCGTTCCATACTGAGCCAATTCTGAGCCACTGGCGGCGTTCAACCTTGAACGCCCGCGGCGGGGTCGCGGCGAGTCGACACGACGCGAACCTACCGTATAGAAGTGGGCAGAATGCCCAACGGCTGCAGTCGGGCCGCTGAAAGAAGGAACGCCAAATCAGGAGCGAAGCCCCGTTCTTGGACCCCAGACCCGCCTGCGTGGGCGAGGAACGCTGGAGGAACAGCCATGGACGGACCCACAACATGTAAGGAACGTCGAGCCCCTTGCCAACCCGAGCGCTTCCTTGTTGCAGCGTCTTGGCTGTGCTCTTTTCCACAGTCGACAGCGCCCGCTGTTGGGCAGGCGACCTTCTGTCTCCGATGGACGCCCCCGGTGGCACTGACAGCGGGCCCCATGCAGGAGAGGGGGGGGCAGAAGCTGCTGTCGATCCTCGCCCCATTCTTGCCCTCCTCCTCCTCCTCCTCCTCCTCCTCCTCCTCCTCCTCCTCCTCCTCCTCCTCGTACCCATGTCCCCCGAGGCAGTGCCTGGAGACTCCTGGGGGCTCCACAGGACGCCTCTGAGGGAACGCCAAGGGGACCCTGGGAGTGACTTTCTGTGTGCTATATAGCTGTGCTCTTGTGCGCTTCCTCCGCAGCTGTTTTCAGCGCCATCGCAGTGCAACGCACCCCAAGAAATAGTATAGACTGGGGCCGCACCATGGCCATGACAGCAGGTGCTGAAATCGCGAGTGCGGGCCTGAACGTTTGCAGCTGGATGTAAAAATGACGTCTCGCTCTGCACGGGGAGCGGGAGAGAGCAGGCATGACGGCAACATCAGCAGTGCTACGCATGCGTATCTATCCACGTATTTGTCGGGGGTGCGGGGGGGGGCTGGTCGCGATGCGCCGGCGGTCCAAGCGGGCAGCGCCACGGAACACCACGCATGCCACAATCCCCGGAGACCACCGAGATGGACTCACCGAAAAATCTGGCACCACGAACGGGTTGTACAACTGGAGGCGACTAGGCTGCCCCAAATCTTGGGCCAAGAGTCCGGTTTCGGGCCCCAGGACCGTCCACAAGCTACCCAGGGAGGGGGGCCGACAGCTCTGGGCACCCCCGCTGCAGGCGCTCGAGTCGGAGGCCTTGGCAAGCCAGGGAGGTGGGCCGGGCCATGCCCGAGCTGCGCTGCTCTTGGCTGGGCCTCCTGAACCCATGCCTGAGCCTAGGATGAGCATGCTTGGGAGCGACGCCGACGCGCAGTGCAGTCTGAAACCTGCAGATGCGTAGCACCTAGCAGTTGCGAATAAGATTGTGGGGGCGGGAGAGGGGGGTCGCGGTGCGAGCCACGGGTGGATCGCGGGTGGGTCGCGGGGTGGGTCGCGGAGCCGAGAGCGAGGAAAAACGACGACGACGACGACGCCAACAACAACAACAACAACAACAACAACAACAACAACACCACCACCACCACCACCACCACCACCACCACCACCACCACCACCACCAACAACAACAACAACAACAACAACAACAACAACAACAACAACAACAACACCAACACCAACACCAACACCAACACCAACACCAACACCAACACCACCACCAACAACAACAACAAACAAACAAACAACAAGCATAATTCTGACCACGGAATCCAACTTCACACGCCCAAGGATGTTGTAAGACCTCTCGGCTCTCCTGGCTCTGATGTGCACGCAACTCTGGGGCGGTTAGACGTATGAGCCAGAGGTGTTTCTACATCTTCCCCCCTGTCTCGACAACGTGGCACATCTTAGCTTGGAGGCCTCCAGTCGGCAGTCCGTTTTGTTGCCCTTCCTGCTAATTCACATGCAGCCTGGTGCAAGCTTCGCTCACACATGAAGCAAGGATGGCGGCGTCATCAATTCCAGCCAGCACCGACGAGAGGAAGTTCCACCTCGCAATCCGATGCTATACTGTGCTTGCGGCTGGATCCCGAAAGTATACTGGCCATCCATTCTTGATGCTACGTACGCCACATCGCGTGAAATCTAGGGTCAGCAATACATGCAACACGTGCGATTTCTCATATACACACAAGTGAAATAGTCGTACTTCACATGCCTCTTGAGCAAGCGACGCCTACCTGATGAGTTCACTGACACTCCCTGAAGATACCGACACATAGCAGCACACACATTCAGAACGCACAGGGGGGGGGGGAATGTAATCACCACGGATGTACGAAAGCGTGGGCAGGCACCGAGGCATTGCTTGTGAGCGGTTGTGTCGTCAGCCTCCCACCAAGCCCCACCTCGTTCATGGAACGCGAGCGACTGGCAACGCCAGGGTCGATGAGGGTCAACCCAACTTGCTCAAGCGCGTCACCTGCCCCATGAGCATTCAGACACACACGCACACACACATGCCACCAATTCAAGTACTGAGTCCAAGCGTAATGCAGACGCATCAAGAGAGGGACTCGACACATGCCCAGCCGACGGAGCTGCAGACGGCAGATCCTCACTCGGGCGAAGCCACATGAAATAGTGTGTGGGCCTACCCCTACTGGTACCACTCAGATATGTGAAAACTCAAGGGCAAGCAACAAATCGACAAACGCATAAGAACGTTATACAAGGTCAATTCCGACGCGCGAAATTATAGAAGCTAGAGAATAATTTGCACATCGTGCCTCATTGTTGCACGGCGTTCAGATACTAGGAATGGTAGCGGAAATGGACCCCTGTCTTCAACAACTGCCAGATCAACGCAACCCGATTCTGCAGCAACGCCGAGAATGTGATGTAGACGAGGCCACATTGGCAAACTCACCACCTATTCGAAGCCGCCCTCTAAACAGATGTCTAAGTCTAGCCTCGAGGCTGCATCGCAATCGCAACATTCGAAAATCACGGTTGGATACCACGGCTGCAATAGGGATGGCTCTGGTACTGTCTTGACATTAAGTTGCAGACTTTCTCATGTTATCGGGCTCCTCATGCTTATCATGAGTTATCAGACATCTGGGGCGTTATGACATCACCAATCTGACGTCACTGACTGCAACTACGTCTGACATGGGAAGCCCATACAAGAGTTAGAGAGAGAAAGATAGAGAAAAATCGAGAGGGAAAGCGAGAGTGAGAAGTGAGAGGAGGAACATATCCATGTATAAACATATAGAGAGAGCGTGACATATTTGTGCAGAGTTGAGGTCGAGAGCGAGAGAACGAACCTGCCCGCTGGACTAAGGTGGACAAGTTGGGGCTATCAGACAGAGTGGCACCAGAGCCGCAACGATCTTTCCACTCAGACCGATCCAAATAATGGACGAACTGAAATGCCGATGCAGAGAAGATTCATAACACACTTTGACATCTAAAGGCTTCCCATTTGCGACTTCCCTTCCCTCGTAGGTCGCCATTCCAGAAACCAGTAGGTAGCCAACCGGCTCGTGAACCCCTCGCAGTGTTGAAGATGCGGATGCCAGCGACCACAACCACCAAACTTATGGAACCACCTCCCATACTGCACGGGAGTTTCGCATCACAACATACGGCATGCAAGTGATAGGACGATTGCGGACAACATCGCGTGTCTGATCGTTTGGATGCCTCCAGCTCAGCCCTACTCTGCCACCCTCCCACCACAAAGATCTAGCCTGTCGCATGTTTAATCAGACTTATGTATGTCATCCGTCCCCTGCATCAAACAAACTTCGCGCCAACGAAGCTGCTACTTATGCCTTGTCTTCACAATGACTGAGTCGCCAATGCGGCGCGAACAGTTCCCCTGCCAGCGAGAATCATGAGAGGTAAGCAGGCATACGGCACCACAGCAGCTGAGCCTGCGAACGCAACGAACAGCTCAAGGAAATGGTTCCTATCCAGGACCTTCGCCCTGCGCTGAAGGTCCATGTACCTCGCCATCACGTCCTCGCTCAACGCACGTCGTGTCAGACTTCGGATAGGAAGCGGATGAGAGAACATGCGCCCCGTCGCGGACTGCATGGCATCTCACCGTCGATCGTGACCGAGAGCCCGAGCAGATTGTTGACCCGAAGCGCCAAGCACATGCTATCGACATGACGCCCGTGGAATGAGACACGTCGGTCAAACAATGGAACGCGTGATTGCAGAGGCCCTCAGAAACGACAGAAACTGATGAGCAGAGTGCAGCACACCGAGAACCAAGATGCGAAAGCTGAGGGGAATTAGATGCCGTCTCAGATGCAACCCGCGAGGCGGATGGATAGGGCTTCGACTGCACGGGTACTCCAGATTTCTTAATGAAAGGGAGGGGGTCTCATTTCGGGGGGGGGTCTCTTCCAGGCTATCTTGGAGGGCCTGGGGGGGTCTGGGGACGATGTTTTAGAGGGTTCTCCCACGGGGGGGGGTCTGAAATGGCTTGTCTTGGAGGGTCCAGACCCCCCCCTTTTATTACGACATCTGGAGTAGTTACGGCAGACGCTGCACGCAGGTGCGCTTTTTGCGGGCCCCGTCCCGCAAGCGTCCAAGGCCGGACCACCCACTGGACGATGGCATTCGAAAACGTTGGAAACGTCCGCCGACCCTTCGACGTTTGTGAGACGCTGTCGTCGTCTTCGTCGTCGTCGTAGTGAAAACGTCGTACTGGCCCAAGAATCTCGCCAGTGAAAAGCGTCGTACTTACTGGCCCAAGAAAACGTAGTGAAAACGTCGTACTGACCCAAGAGAACGTAGTGAAAACGTCGTAGTGAAAACGTGAATCTCGCCAGTCCCGAGAAAAATCGAGGAACGAACCGAAAAAAAAAGAAACGTCGTAGTGACGTCGATCCCCTGTCCTTTCTCCCGTCCCTGACCAGGGGGGGTGGACGGGAGGGGGTACTGGGGGGGGGACGCGGGGGGGTCCCGGGTCAGATTGCCTCTGGGTTCTGGCGGCCCCCCTCAACATGTGTATGCCCAACCCTCGATACTCGCCCGATTCGTCTTCGATCGTGCCCCCTTTGGGGCTGCGTATTCCTTGCCTGCCTCGTGTAGTTGGCGCAGTCCCTGAAACTGGAGAGGGAGGAGGAGGACCAGCGTAAACCCAAGAGTCATCAACGATGTTGGAGTAAACCCTCCCTCCAAGCTCCCTCTTCATAGGGCCCTACAGCAGTTCATTTCCATTGATGGAACTGCCGCGTTAGAAGACACCTGTTTGAAGACCCTGAAGCATGCCAACATATTCTGTTCTCGGGATTCCAATGCCACGAATCAACGGTCCTGAATCGTGCCAGAACGCAATTCCCAAAACTTCAACACAGAGAATCGACGTAACTGTTGCACCCACATAATCCTGAATGCTTCCAAAACATCATCCGTGAGACTCTTGCAAATGTTGACAACGAGCGTGCGCCGCGCTAAGGCGAGAGCCACAGTTTGAAAAGAAACCGCCCTCAATCCGTGACATTCTTGCAAACTTTCACAATTCATGTGCGCCCTGCTAAGGCGAGAGCCACATTTTGAAAATCACTCGCCCTCCATCAGTGAAACTCTGGAAAATTTTGAAAACGAACGTGCGCCCCGTACGGCGAGAGCCACATTTGGAAAACCACCCGCCCACAATCCGCGAAATTCTTGCAAGTTTTGAAAACGAGCGTGCGCCGTGCTAAGGCGAGAGCCACATCTTGAAATCGACCCGCCCTCAATCCACGGAACTCTTGCAAATTTTGAAAACGAATGTGCGCCGCGCAAAGGACAGAGCCACATTAAAAAAACACCTCCCATCTGTAAAACTCTTGCAAACCTTTAGGACTCAGAATCATAAATGGCGAGGAAGTCTCAGGCGAAACGCCCGGCCCAACTTGAAAACTGGACGGGGAGAACTTATTGATAAGGAAAAAGAATGGAGGGCAAGGTAAAGGAAGAGAGCGAGGAAACGAAAAGGGAGAGGAGCAAGAGGGAGGTAGGGTTGAGGGCGAAGAACATTTAGCAGGAGGGGGGGGAGAGAGGAACAATAATTGTGGCAAGCGGGTCCTGACGGGCGGGTCGGGCGGTCTGGCCCTAATTGGCGCGTCGGGCAGGCGGGCGCTAACAGGCGGTCAGGGGCCCAGCCTGAGACTCGAGACTGTCCCGATTTTTTGGTTTTTAAAAACAGGGTGCGAGTCCCTTGGGTAGCAGGCCAATTGAGAAACACATAGTGGGCACCGGAGGCGGGGATCAACAATAGTTGTTCTTCATCAGTGAGAGCTCAACGACGACAACCTAACCGCGGAACACCCCACTACGGCGACGCTCCCAACCAGGGACAGGTTAAGATCGTTCGGCCCCCTCACTTTCAGAATGTGGAAAGCCAAGAGAACTCATGCGAAAAATGCTTACGGCTGAATGCAAGCGCGCCAGAACGCATCCATGGCGCCTGGGACCTCGAGGCGGAAGTCGCGCATCCGGGGGGTGAAAGAGTATGCTGCCCCAGGGCCCGGCCGTCGCTTGTGCCACATGGGCCCCGACACAGGCGCGCCCGCCTCCTCCTCCTGCTCTTCCTCTTCCCCCCTGCTTCTCCTCCTCCCCGTCCTCAGAAGCTTTAAAACAGGGCTAGGATCGGGAAAAATCGCTCCAGAGCGGTCCGGAGCGCTCTCAGAGCGTTCCGGAACGCTCTGGAGCGGCCGCGGCGCCCAATACATCCTCCAAACCCGCCGATTCTCTGAGATTTCGTGTTATCCCGATCCGATTTTGTCCCGATCTTCGCGTCGTTTTATCTTCCCCCCTCCTCCTCCTCCTCCTCGTCCTCAGAAGCCTCCTGGCGGTCGCCCGAGGGGCCCGCGGCTCCGGCGAGGGCCTCTGAGCCCCCGAGAGCTTCCGGAGCGAGGCCCGCCCCACTCTTAGCCTTGCCGCCCGTGCGCGGCGCGCCGCCGACTTCTGTCCTCTGGCCCCCCGCGCCCCCGGATGGTGCGCGCGCGCGCTCGCTCCTGCGCCGGAGGCAGCGGGGCCTCGTCATCCTGCGGGAGGGGCGCGCCATTTCTGCTGGTGCCCTCTCGGGTCGGGCGAAAGGGGGGGGGATGGCAAAGGGGGGGGGGTTGAGAATCGGCTCACGCCGCCGATTTTCCCGGCGCCTCCCGGCGCCGGAGGCGGCCACGTATCGAGGAATGGGCCCCTCGGTGGGGCCGAAACCAGCTGCATGCAGCAAATTTCGACCCCCCCCCTTTCCCAATCCCCCCCTTTCGTCCGGCCCGAGAGGGGCGCGTCTCTTCACCTCCTCGTCCTCCTCCTCCTCCTCCTCCTCCTCCTCCTCCTCCTACTTCTCACCATCATTCTCATCCCCCCTGGATGCTCCTTCTCCTACTCACCAACCCGCCTGTTACTCCTGACCCCGTCATCTCCTCTTCCCCATCCCCCCCTCGTCTTCCTCGTCATCCTCCCCTTTCGCCCCCCAGTGCAATTATCCTCCCCCTGCTTTCCTCCTGCGTTCCTGCCGTTCTCCTCTTCTCTCCTCTCCCCCTCCCCGCCCCCTCTTAGCCGACCCCCCCCTCTCGCCAGAATCCTCCCGGCTGCGAGCCGCGAAACCAAGTCAACTCAGACGCCTTCATTTTGCATCCGTTCGTGCTCCTGCCAGGCTGCGTCCATCTCCGCCTCCTCCTCCTCCTCCTCCTCCTCCTCCTCCTCCTCCTCTTCCTCATCCTCCCTTCCCCACCTCCCTTGTTGCATCCCATCGTGCTCCTGCAAGACTGCGTTCACCACCTCCTCCTCTCCTCCTCCTTCTCCTCCTCCTCCTCCTCCTCCTACTCCTCCTCCTCCTCCCTTCCCCACCTCCCTTGTTGCATCCCATCGTGCTCCTGCAAGACTGCGTTCACCACCTCCTCCTCTCCTCCTCCTTCTCCTCCTCCTCCTCCTCCTACTCCTCCTCCCCCCTTCCCCGCCTCCTCCTGCTCCTCCCGCTCCTCCTCCTCGTCCCACTTGCCCCCTCCTCCGCCTCTCCCTCGAGGCATCCCCTGCCCCCCCTCCTCGGCCCGGGGAGGCCTCGTGGGCCCCCCCATCGAGCTGGAGAATTAGGGAAACAAAAAAATGGCATAAACATAAAAACTCTGAGGTCCGCCCAGATTTCTCGGATCGGCGCTGGACCCCCCTCCCCTGGCGCGCGGAGCGCGCCAGGGGCGGCGCCGGTGATGCCGCCCCTCCTCCTGCCGACCCCCCCCCGCGGCGGGCGCGCGGGCCGGCCTTCTTCGTGGAGCTCGAGAGGTGGAGGTACCTTTGCTGGAGGCCAGATGGGGTCCGAGTGGATGGGGTCGAAGAACTGCGCCGCATCGGCGACGTCGGCGTGGGGAAACACGGGCTCCGCATCGAGCCGCACCGTCGATGCATCGGCGATGCGGCGCGATCCTCCGATCCCGTATTCTCCGACCCCATCTAGGAGGCCTAAATTTGTAGAGAGCAGAAGAAACAGCATAAACATAAACTTTGGAGGTCTGCGCGGATACCTTGGATCTGCGCTGAACCCCTCTCCCTGGCGCGCGGAGCGCCAACAGTGTATGTTTATGGCGACTGCCACTCTTAGATTTGTAGGGAGCAGAAAAAAACACCCTCACCGGGAGCACCACGACGAGCGAAGCTGCTCTGTGAACGCACCCCAGGGGGAGGACTCGAACAGGGCACGGCTGCTCCGTCCACGCCCAGGGGCCGTCTCACGAGCGCACGTTAATTGTGGGGGATATCGGGGCGCCGGCCGCACCACCCCGGCTCCTAGAGAAGCGGCGGGCAATCTACGTCTGTGGCCGCGCCCTCTCTCGCGGCCTGGCCACTCCGGGGCGCGATCTCCCGCGATGCTCTCATAATCACCCCCCCCCCCCCCAAAAAAAAAGCCCTTCAACGGCAACCTAAGGGATTTCGAATATGCGCGGTCGCACGGAGACACGCTCCGCGCGGGGCAGCCGCGAAGCAAAACGCCCCGCAGCATCGGCGGGGTCGCGTCCCAGGGGCCCCGCCCGCCAGGCCGCGAACACGGGACGCCCGGACCTGGGACAGAGCAGCATCCTTCAAGAACATGAGACACTCCGCCGGCCAAACCGAAGAAGATTCGAGGGTACCCTCCTCCAGGATGCACAAGAACATGATACCGATCCCGCTACTCTCCGGACCTCTCCCGGGGTGCGTCCTGACCAAAACTTCCAGGCGAATCCAGCCGTGGCGACGAGAGCCTCCCAGGAGACCCCCAAAACATGGAAGTCGAGGGAAAGATGGTGGTATGGGTAGCTTATCCTCCTCTGAGTTCAATCTGACACGCCTGCGCTGGCGACCTCAGTGCGGCAACGCCGTATCAACCTACCTCACCCATGATTTACAGTGGAGGCCAGTCCACAAGAAACCTTCCACAAGAAACCCAACCCTGAGACCCCAGGACGTCCATGGATTTTTGGTGTGGGAACGTCGCGGTTGCCCAGGAACAAGGACAGGCGACACCAACACCAGCAGGGCAAGGAGATGCGAGGAGGGGGGTCTCCCTGGTGGTGTGATCCCCCCCCCCCCCTCGCTCGAGACATCCCTGGCCTCCCGCTCGGGGAGGCATCGTGGAACTCTCCTCGCTGGAGGTGGGCCCCCTGGTGGTGTTGGCGTTGCTTGTCCTTTCTCCGACTTGCCATGACTTGGAGGCCTGGAAATTGGCACCAACACCAGCACAGGGGTTTGCCTCCACAGGGGGAAGATGATCCTAGATTTCGGTGTTGGTGGCAATATTTCGGCCACCTTGGGAACCAGAATATTACCACCATCACCGAGATCGGGATCGTCTTTCCTCGGTGGAGGTACACTGCCGATCTTGGTGTTGGTGTCAACCTCTAGGCCTGCGAATGACAAAACCAGCGAAACCCAAGAAACCCAGGGCAGCCTGGAGGCAAGCAGGGCGTCTCTCGGCATGGGCCCCCCCTCTGCGCCCACGCCTGGCGCCGACCTCTCGGCCGGGCTACGGACGCTATGGTTGAGTCGGGCCCGTACACGGGGGGCGTTCGACGAACATGGAACAAATATCAAAAAAAAAAATGCTCCAAGATGCCCCAACAAATACTCAAGCATAGTCCCCAGCTTATTTTTCCCAACCCTCCTTTATGGTCGGGCATTCGTTTTGGATAGAGCAGTGTGGTCGCCCCGGCCTCCTCCTTCTCCTCCCCCCTCCGCCCCTCCTCATCTCCTGTCTCCTGTGTTCCCCTCTCCTCTTCCCTCGTGCCGTCGGGCTGCGATCTGCGCAACTGTCGCCACTTTCGTGGGCCCTGTGCTTATGTTTTGACTGCTTCTGAACATGCCCCCTGTAGAGGCACAGGCTCGGCTTCACGCTGTAGGGCCTGGCCCGGCGCGCGCCTGGGGCCCGCACGCGCGGGGCTCCGCCCCAGCGGGAGGGCGCGTACTTCCGAGGGGCCGCGGGGTGCCGACGCACCGCCGCCCAGGCCACCTCGAGCCATGGAAGCAGTACGAGAGGCAGGTGCTCCTCCGTTACTTCAGCCTCCATGGGGGGCCCTTACCAGGCCTCGGGGCTGTCGAGCAACGACCCGGGATTAGAAACTGGCCTGCAGGGAATCGGTCGAGACCTCCGGGGGGCGACTTTTGAAAACATTGTGCTGTCGGGGGTAGGGTTGGAACGTGGATCTTGTGGCAAAGAATTGTAGAACGGTGTTTTTTTCCACCCGATACAGGGGGATATAACACCGGTAGGCAAAGGGTTGACACCGTTTGCAAATGATGACAAAAAGGTTGAAACTGATGGCACAGGGCTTGAAACCGTTTGCATACGATGTGGGTTTTGAAGCTGATGGCAAAGGGTTGCAATCCTGTATGCCCCTACCCGGTGGGGGTATACAGGGGTATGCCCCTCCCTCGTCGCCACGGCGGGGCTGGCCCCCAAAAAAGCCTGACCCGAACGCACCCCCGGAGTGGCCCGTGGACTCTCGGGTGTGCCGAAGGAGGGGGGTCAGGAAGAGGCCCAGACCCGTGGACTCTCGGGTGTGCCGAAGGAGGGAGGTCAGGAAGAGGCCCAGACCCCCGACATCAGGATATTTTCAAACGCTGACCCTCAGAGGTCTCGACCCATCCCCCTGGACCTGCTTTTCTTTAACGACGGCATGGGAGCGATGAACACAATCTTCACGACCACGACACGTGATTCACTGTTGGGTATCCCCACGTTGGGCACTGTCTGCCACACTGCGCAACACTGGCGCCTTGCGCAATCCTGAATCGTTTTTTGACGGTCCCAAGGGCCGGTCAAGGCCTCCAAAGGCAGAGAATACGGAAAAACCTCCCGTTATTTTTTTTCATTACCTGGGGGGGTCTGGGGGGGGGTCACCACATCATGGCCAGAAGCATGCGCGCGGACGAGGGCTGGCCAGGGAACGTGTGGAAAGAAGACGAGGAGGCCAAGATATCTGGGGGATATCCTGGCCCTGGTCGCGAAATAACGCCCCCCCGCTCGTTCTACCCCCCTGGTGGCAGTCCGGGGGTTTGCGGGGCTTTGTTCTGTAGAAGCTCGAGAGGTTTGGTCGGTTCAAATCTGGAGGTTTGTCTGGCTCCTGTTCGGAGGTTTGTTCGGCTCCTGCTCGGAGGTTTGTTCTGGAGTTCGTGGGTTTGCTGTACTTCCCCCCCCCCCTGTTTGGACGCCCTCGAGAGTAACGGTACCGGAAAACCCCGACATCCGCCTATATGATTGTTCAGTCCACGGCCCCAGAGCTCCCGCCCGACCCCTCCCCGAGTCCGTTTCTGAAGGCACCGGGGCCCAGTAACAAGCCCGAGGCCGACGTCGATGGGCAACGCCTGGGCTGGAAGAGAACTGTTCTCGGAGATCTGGGGCAGCAGCGGTGTCGGTGTCCCCTGAGCTCCGACGTTGTGTTACGTCGGGCGTGTCCCCCTACAGGGGGATTTTCGACGAAAAATAAAACATACCCCAAAGATGCCCCAGAAAGGACAGAAAAGAGTCCAAAA